TCTTCCCGACTCTCTCTAATAAAACCTATCTTCACTCATTGCCAAAGTCCTTCTCTCTAATTCTCTATTTTCCAGTAATTGTTTTAGATCATTTTCAGTATTTTCACCTTCTTTCGAATTATCTTCTATAGTAATAATTTGTTGCTCAGTTATTTCTTCATCTTTGCTACTTGAAGTTTCTTCTTCAAATCCAAGTTCTTTTTAATTCTCTCTTAAAAATATTACTAGCAAAAATTTATATTACTTTGAAGACTTTTAAAACTCACCTTATTTTTTTCTACTTTGCTTTTAATTAATGTTTTATTTATCTAAATACTTTCATTATTTAGATTAAGAACTGTTTGACATACTGCAATAACAAATGCCACTTGTTCATCAGAGGCATCTCCCTTTGGCCAGACTTTTTTGAGAATACAGGCCATTATGTTTTGTATCTCTTCTCTTGGACATTTGTAAAAGTTTTTAAAATACTTGACAGTTTTTCAAGATTGTTTCCAGGCCAAAATTTCAGTAACTAATGTATTCATATTTATTGTATTCAAAAATCCTTTATCAAAAATTGAAAACATGGCATCATGAATTTTTGAAGCTATAGTTTCACAAAGAGATTGATACTGTTTCATGAGCTTTTAAAGCAATAAGATATTAAATAATTGAAAACTAAAGTTATTAATATTTATAAGAATTATTGCTTGATGAATATATTTTTTATAATATGTTTTCCAGCATTTTCTTGTGAGGCCTTCCTAGAACTCTGAATATTCTTGCTGAAAAAATTCCTTAGTTATTCAGTGAAAATCTTTAGGGTTTGAATATATTTTTTCAAAAAATACTTGTTTTGCGATACTCTTAACTGTGCGTTATTTAAATAAAATATAAGTTTTTAAAGATTTTTAAAGAAATTCAAAAAGAGAACCTTACTTCGATAAAATTATATTTGGTAATTAAATGTTGACTTACATGAATTTCATTTTTATATGGGTAACCTTATCCTCTATAATTTTTTGCTGTTCTAACAATTGATCGATTTTCTATTGAAGGCCTTTGTGAGATAAATATATAAGTTAGTATTTATTTTAAATTATAACAAATTTTTAAATATATTCAAAGTAGGGTTCTGAAAAGTACCGAACTGGTATCAAACTAGTATCGATTTTATAGTAAATGTAAGTATCGAACTGGTATTGAAGTGGTATTGAAATGGTATTGAAGTGATATCGTTAGGAGCCCTAATCCAAAGTTTCTTCAAACATTCTCCATGCTGGTGTGTCAAAAGAAGATTGAAAAAATGTCCAGGGAATCTCAATCACTTCCGAGGTGTTTCTATTTTCAATTCAATAGGAATTGAGGGTCTTCGTTCTGTAGCTGGCCCTTGGGCTCCCTGAGTACTCTTTGCCTTTTTAGAGGACTTTGAAGCACTTCCTTGACTTTTTCCTTTTCCCTTTTTGATAGAACCAGAAATAAGTTTTTGAAGTATTTTACATGTTTCTTGTTTTTTGTTTGACATTAAAGAAAATGTGAGAACTTTAGAGACCTTATATAAGTACAAATTCCAAGAAATTATGTCATATGATGCAAACTTTTATTGTCACCTTTTGAAAATTACTTCATAAATTTAAATCATTAAGTCATTATACAAAAATAAAGTTATTTTATCATTTTATTGACATAATTATTGCAACTTTTAAATTAAATTTTTGATTGGTCAAAATTAATCAATATTTATTGGTTAATTTTACGCATTTTCTAGATCCCTTCGAAGGCTTTTAAAATGAATTACAAATGTCAATTTTGTCAATGCACATTTTCAAGACATTCCTTTTATACATGGCATGTTAGCAAATATATTTTAAAGGACCTTCGCAGTCTTTCACTTTGTAATGAAATGGATCAAGGACTTGCACAAATTCTAAGATTTCTGGGATTAAAAATTTTTTCACATGGTATTCAATCTATTGCAAGACTAACTGCAGATGAATATAAAAATTTAATGAAAGTTATAATTTTTGTAATGGATAATATATGTGATGAAAGTATATAAAATACAGATATTAAAGAATTGCCAATAATTTATCAAGAATGGAATAAAATGTATCTAATTAGTAGATATGAGGAGTTTTCCAAAAGTGATTTAAAAAAATTTAAAATAATTAAATTATAATTTATTATAGGAAAGATTTTTAGCTTCACAACTAAAACTTCCAAAATTTCACTCATGAATATATCATATAATTTCATCTATTTGAAAGTATGGAATAATTAATAGATTTACTTCAGAAACCTATGAAAGTCTCCACAAGGAACATGTTAAAAAACCTTATCATTTAAGTAATAAAAAAAATATCAAAGAACAACTAATGCAAAATGTAAGTATATAAATCAATTAACAAACTTTTGAAATATCTAACATTATTATATATTTTTAGAATCAAAGAAAAATAATAATAGATAAAATCATACAAAGCTCTAAAGAACGAACAATTATTTCAAAAGTATTTACATTTCAAATTAATTATTTGATGGTAGACCAATAATCGCAACTTTGACAGGTTTAGGTAAGGGGATAGACATTCCGCAATAAGTAGAACGTAACGGACTAGGTGGCGTGCTAGAAGCGATTACTTTCAATACCTCAGAAATACGGTCCTTAAATCATAAAGTGTTTAATGGTTTGATGGAGATTTGCATTAAAGGTTACGGTTAAAAGAAATTACTATTTATTACTTACTTTGACATTATATAATGCTTCTAACACTGATATCAAATTTAAAAATTGCGCCTGTTCTGTTGGAGTGAGTACGTTTGCTATTAAGAACATTCTGTAAATTCCGTCATAATTTATATCCATCTCATAGATACGAATGCGTGCGCCTATAAATCAATTGTGTTAGTAAATGCATTAAAAAGTCAAACCAAATTGAACACTTACCACAAACCCAAATACCGAAAGAAGCTAATCCAATCCTATTTCCATATCTCTTAACTAATTCGTCTAAGGCATTTACTTGGAAATCGGAAAGTTTGATAAAATCTTTATTGATCAATATAGATGACAAGTCTTTTGGTTTCGCTTCGCTGAAAATAATCTCATCTCTTGTATTGGTCAAAATTTTAAAATCAGGTTTTTTACCTCGAGAATTTTCCTTATCGCTAGAACGCCGATTTTTTGAAACGGAGCTCTCGCCATTTACCCTATTAAATTAGATATCATTAATCACGTAATTCAACAATCACACGACTAACTACAAATGCAAACTCACCATATCAACTCAAACATTGAATCATGAAAAATTTCTTTAAATAGGTCGTGCAAAGTTTCATGGACAAAGGTGTTCTCATTATTGGTATCCACGCCTTTCGAACTCAGCAATAAACTATAACAAGAAAATGTTCCATTCAGTGTTACATGAACTATAACTTATAATGGGTGTCAACACTTACAAATTTCGAAAAATAATTTGAGCCTGACAAAATTTTTCCTTTTCTTGAATACTCAATTCTACAACTTTTGAAAAATTGGCACACCATACGTCCTGAATATCACTCAATAATTTAAAGGAATTCAACATCTAGAGTTGAAGGAGAAAATGCTTAATGTCAATTTCTTGTAACCTAACTCCAAATCTGAGAATAGAAAAAGTATACATACGGAAGTATATTCGAGAGCCACATTACTCACTACTGGTGGCAGGCTCGAAGGTAATTGTCTTTGAAAGATTTTGTTCCAAATTGTTGAAGTGACGGTGAGATATGAAGGTTTTGTACGCTCGATGTGCATTATATTTGAAAGGCAACTATCTTAACAGGAGAATAATAAACATAATGTTGAACATGATCATAAAATTACATGAGTCAGATGGAATGCGATACTTACAGAATTTCTTTAATGTTTTGTTTATAACATAGATACGGGTTTTCTTTAATCTGTCGAATTGTTAACTGTTGAAACTTCCGAAATTCATCCGAAAGATTGTATCTTTCAACAATCCACTGAAAAAGCGCGTAAGTATGTATAGTTAATACAGTGAATGCAACAAAACATTAACCACATCGTGTACTCACATCCTCTTTCGAAGTATCTCTGAAATCGATCTTATCAATTACATCTCCCCATGAACAAAGAATCTTGTACCTTTTCCTGGCATCACAATATTCAGACTCAATATCTACATCTATAATATATGTGAGATTCTTTCAGAAATTAACAAAACCAAGGTGCTTTATTACCTTCTTCGCAATTAAATGTAGTAGAAATATCAGGTGTCGAAATATGGTTCTGATGGGACTCCACGAGATGAATTTTCATGTGTATTTGATCATCAGGAAGGGGATCCGCAACATTTTCATTCTTCTTTATCCGCTTGCTCTGTAATTTCTCGTGATCATTCTAAAATTTAAAATAATAGTTTATTAGAAACATGAAAAATAATAATTTTATTTAAATTACGTATATACCTCTCTCTTGCTGCTTTTTTTTAAACACTTTACATCGAAAGCTCCGCAACCTGTGATCTCACTATTGATGGTCCCATTAATGGTTCCACTATTCACAATTCCACTTGCGCTCCCAATATCCATAAATGTCGGTTTGTTAAGATAAATATGTTTCTTCGAACGCCCTGCTTCCCACTTTCTTGCCTTTTTATAGTCTGGTTCGGTATCCTAGCACAAAAGAATAAAAAATTTAGTAAGTAAATGATATTCTTTGATAAAACAATCCCAAGTTTGATTATTCATCCCATCGAAACATCAGCCAAACTAGTTGATTGCCTGCGCCTGATGGGTCCAATGCTAGCTCGACTAATTGACTTGAAAACATCAGGCAAACTAATTGATCACCTGTGCCCTAGCACTGGTTTGTGGCTCGACTAATTGACTTGAATGACAAGGAAACTAGTTGATCCCTTGACACGCCACTTATTAATATTTCTAACAAAAAAATATAATTACTTTCCTTGCTATTATATTTGTTGTAAAGAAGTTGGGCTTTTTCCTTTCTAATTCCTTCTTCATAATTAATAATCCACCTAAGGGATCTCAAGTATAGGTCCACTTTCAGCTGGAAAGGTTCTTCTTCGCTTTCGTTTAGAAATCCTATAAGATACCAATCCGCGGACTTTCGTTTAAAATAATCGTGAAATACGTTGCTTGACATGTAGTATTATAAATAGGAGACGCGAAACAATTTCTACTCTAAGCCACTCGAATGATCAATTTCCATAAGAGGAATTACACTGTCTGCTAAGAAGCTATTTTGGGTGCAGAAAATGCTCCCCGTACGTCACCCATGCATCATCCTTGTGCGGTATTCGACACGTAATATAAATAGGCGACGCGAAACAATTTCTACTTTAAGCCACTCGAATGATTAATTTCCATAAGAGGTATTACACTGTCTGCTAAGAAGCTATTTTGGGTGCAGAAAATGCTCCTCATACGTCACCCGTGCATCATCCTTGTGTAGTATTCGACACGTAATATAAATAGGCGACGCGAAACAATTTCTACTCTAAGCCACTCGAATGATTAATTTTCATAAGAGGAATTACACTGTCTGCTAAGCAGCTATTTTGGGGTTGCTCCCCGTACGTCACCCGTGCATCATTCTACTCTAAGCCACTCTAATGATTAATTTCCATAAGAGGAAGAGGAATTACACTCTACTAAGCAGAGCTTAGATTGCTATTTGGGGGTACAGAAATGCTCCCATACATCACCCGTGCATCATTCGACACAAATCTCGCGCAACCATATATAAAATAAATAATTATTTAATAAATAGAAAAAAAAATAGAAAAGTTTTTAATTATAAATATTATTTTATAAACAATGTTTTTACTTATATAACAATAATATAAATAGAATAATTAAATTTATAATTAATTAAATAATTAAATAAAATTAATAAAACTAATTTTTTTAAAAAAAAATTAAAAAATTAATTTATTTAAAATTATTAATAAACAATAATTTTTTTATTAAAAGTTTTTTTCTTATAAAAATAAATTTATAATAAAATATTAATAATTGTTTTTTTTTTTTAACAGATAGCTTACATATTGTTTATTGAATATTTTATTAAGTGTATTACAAACTTTTACAAATTTGAAATTCTATCTATTCCCTAAATTTACTAAAGATTTCCCTTATCATACAGCTTATTGTTAAACATTTGATATATCTTTAACTCCTTTACTGTGCAGCTTATTGCCAAACATTTGATATATCTTTAACTAATTTGTCAAGGCTTTGTTAATCTCTATTAAAAACAATTCTAAAATTATAAAGTGTATCCCAGTTTATTCAATTATTAGCTGCATGATTCATAATTGTATTATTTCTTGGTATGTATAACTTTAGTTGTGTTTGTTGTCCATTTGTGTTTATCTTGTTTTGTTATATTGTTTGCATCCTTCTATTTTGAGAAGATTTCATTGTGTTGCATTCAAGTTTTTTCTAGGCTGTTAAGGATTCTGTTCATGATACTTTTGATAGTTTCTTGTTGTTCTGTTAAGGGTGTAAACTCTTTGATTATAGAGATAATTTCATGGATTAGGACTCTTTTTATAATTAGATTCTTTGTTTTGTTTAACCATTTTTAAATATGTTTAGAAATTTTGTGATATATTTGTGAACCTATTAGTTTTGTTACTCTTCTTGTGATTTCTTCAATAATTAAATTTTTAATAATTTACAAATATATATATATATATATTTATTCTATAATCAAACAAGTATTTATTGTGTTTATTTAATTATTGAAATTGAAAACATACAAGTATAAAACTTTTATATATAAATTAAGCTAATACTTGAATACTCATTCCTGATTATCAATCTTCAAGTATAATCTTAGAGATAAATAAAATCACTTGCTCCTTTCCTTTATTTCTAAAAGGATTTAAGTTCATTGCCTATAGTTTATTATTACAGTTTACCTTGGCAAGATCTTGATTACTTTATATTCCTAACCATTTAATTTTTTTCTTTATTTTGTTCTATAAGATTTGTGTGAAGGTTTTTAAGATCTTGATATTTTCAATTACTAGGTTTGTATCTGTCAATATTGCTGTTGTCTTTTTTTTTTTTCCAAAAGTCTATACTTGTTCTTGAAATTGAAGGCTTCCTTTGATATTTTTGAGTTGAAACCTGTCTCTTTTCCTTTTCCTTTGTCATGTGCTTTCTTATAATTATAGATTTTTTCATATTTTGTATTCTTGATTTGTTGATAAAATCTTTTATTCTAGCCTTGTGATATTTTGTTTATAATTTTTCGTGCTATTACTTTATGTATATTGAGTGTATAGCATATTTGAATCTACTCTAATGTTTTTTTTTTCATCCACAATTCTATACTAATATTTATTATTTCTTTTGCTAAAGACAATTTTTTGATTTTTCACTTTTTCATTATTCTATGAATTAGTATTAGGTTCTATTTGACTTTATTCTTGTCTTTATTGATGTACTTTGTAATTCAAAATATGTACAACTAGTTGTGTATATTTTTTCATATCCTATTCTTTTCTTTTTAAAGTTGTTGCAAGTTGCTAAGTGATCTATTATTTCTTTATAATTTAGACAAAAGATATATTTAATATTTGCTACTGGTTCTTGGATATTCTATTTAATTAGATTATTCAAGATTGGCAGTTTGTTATATATAAGCTTGATCTTGAATATTCTTTCTTTCATCTATTTAAATAAAATAGTTAATAAGTCTTTGCTATTGTTATATTACCAAAAATCTCTTCAATTAATTCAATTATAGTTTGCTATCTTATTTTCCTATCACTATTGTATTTTGTTAAGGGATATCTATTGTATTAGAATCTCTCTCATATTAATATTTTTGATAAACTCTCTGATTAAAATATTTATAGAAATCTTGTTCTATTCTAATATTGTAATTGGAATTATTGTTAATAAATATAGGTCCCTAAATTAAAGGTGAAAACATAATTCAAATGTTTTTCACTATTAAAAAGTTTTTTTTTTTAAATATAAGGTTAAAAAAAAACTACCTATAAAGGTTTTTTGCAATTTAGGTCACTTGATACAAGTGTTTTTATAATTATATTCCTATTAAAATAATGAATAGATAATTATATCCCTTCAAAAGAAACATAATTGATCTGCAAAATTTTATTTGCTAAATAATTTAAGAACCTATTTTTAATTATTAACAATGGTTTTTATTCGATTTCTGACTCTTCTTTTGTTGCTTTGACTAACTGATTTGCTTGATTATTTAATTTGTTTTTGCTATCATTAGGAAATTTTTTTGGTGGAGATTTCTATCCAAAAAAAATTTCAAAAATTTCTAGAAAAATCTTTAAAAATCTTCAAAAGTTTTTAAAATAATAAACTTCAAAAATTTTTATTTCAAAAAAATTTAAAAATCTTCAAAGTAATAATAATTATATTAAAATAAATATTTATTTAATAAAT